GGCCCGACAAGCCGCCCCCTAAAAATCAAAAGCGATCGAGTTAGAAAAAAAAGGAGAAAGGAGCTTCTTTCGTTTTTCGTATCCCTTCGAATTCGAAGCATCGAGAGAAACATCGAAACGTAACGGAGTGCGCATCTCGGAGCTGCTTTTTCGAACACACACAAATTTTTCGCCGTTCATCCCTTCTGCTAAAGCGTTATTCTGCTAAAAAAAAATAAGGAAAAAAAAAAAAAACGAATAGCAAAAAAAGAAACAAAAATCGACGATGAAAGAGACGACGAGGACAATGATCGAAAGATGGAATGACGATCATTGAAACCCTTGTGTATATATTTATGTGTCGCTAGAGGAGAAAGAAGTTTGTATTTTACGTGTAAACGTACGACGATTTCGTGCATCAGATACATTTATTGCATTCACCAACGTTAACTACAACTTACTGATAAAACGCAAAAAATTTGACAATATTCGGTCGCAAAAATATTTATACACTATCTTATAAGAAAATTCATACACGAAGAATTCTGATTTTGATGAAAGTTTTCGCGTATGCAGGATATAATATGAAGCAATTTCCTTTTCATTACGAAAAATTTCTTAAAATTTCAAAATTATAAAATTATATTTTTAAATTTTATTAGAATTTCGTTCTTATTCTTGAAAAGTAATAACAAAAAGAAATTATATCTGTTTCTCTCCCTCTCCCTCTCCCCTCTCTCCCTTTCCTTTTTCCTCTCCTTTTTTCTTTCTTTCTCCCTCTCTTTCTCTCCTTCCCTCTCCTGCCCACCTCTTTCTTTCTGTATATATATTCTACATACTTACAAAATTTCGTCAAAAACAGAATTTCCCTCGATATTCTGTTACAAATGGTTAATCGCGTACGAAGATCCGCAATCATTTTAGCCAAAAGAAAGATCTTCGTTTTCTTTTTCTTTTTGCTTCTCAAACCGTGAATCCAATTAAACGAAAAAAAAAAAAAAAAAAAAAATACAACGTCGTGATAATACTAATATATTTCTTCAACCGCGTGCTCACGCACGACATGATACTTGAGCAGGGTCGGTATTCTGGCTCTGTGCGTGCAATAAGGGCAGGGATAGAGCGGTTCCATTTGGCAGAAAAAATTCATGTGCTTCCTTAAACTCCTCCAATCGCTGTACTTCTTGGTGCACTTCAAACAGAGAAGCTCGTCCTTGCACCGCCTCCAAATATCGCGTGGCAGTTGGTCGCAAAAAAGGGGAGCTTTGGCTGAAACAGGGATCGGAATGTTGCATCAGTCGATAATCTATTCATGTAGAAGAAAAAAGGGAGGAGGAAGAAAAAAAAAATAATATAAAAAAAATAAAAAAATAAAAAAAAAGAGGGAAAGAATAGAACGAAATAAATTGGAAACTCTAAGGTGTTGCAAACGTGTTTGAGAGTAAAAGTTCTGAGACTCGTTCTCGAGAATATTTTATACAGGGAGCGGACGTTGCTTCGAGAATGACCGCGTCCGACGACTTATAATATTCATTCTTAAAAAATTTTTGGTTAGAAAAATCTCGAGAACAAGTTTCGAAAGTTTCGAATGCTTTTGCATGTAAACGACAATCAAGAATAGGTATTTTTTTTTTTTTTTTTTTCTTTTAAATCGTCAAGAAAAAAGTATTGACGATTGGCCTCGTTTGCAAAATAAGTACAGAAAGAAGAAAAAGGGAATGGTTCTATTCGTGACGATAAGTTTTCGAGAAATCTCTACCTTTCCTTCTCTCTTTTTTTTCTCTTCTTTCGTCTTGGTTCGATGGCAGGAGAGTGACACGTGTGTTTCCAATAGTCGATGAGATGTGTGTTTCCCTATACGGTAGAAGATTAATTTTCTTCTTTTGGATTATTCATGGATTATGCAAGAATGTAAAAGAAAATTGTCACCCGAGATATGTAAATCGTGTGTATTTATTATTATCTTTTACGCAACACCTTACATAACAACAATGTTTCTCTTAGCTCGTATTTGTCGGCATCGCGAATCGAGGTAAAATGAAAAGCCGATAGGCTCGAATAGTCTGGTACATGAGCGTTTTTTTTTTAACGTCTTTTTTTCCATTTTCTTTTTTTTTTTTTTTTTTTTTTTTTTTTTTTT